TATTTGCATCTTACCGTATTTGCTACTTACTGTATATGTAGCTTACTGTATTTACAGCCTACCGTATTTGCATCGTACTGTATATGCATATACCGATTTTGCATATACTGACCAAAAAGTCTTCGAAATCCAAACTCTTGTATGGATTCGCCAAATGAATTCACTATTTGAAATTCACGTTTATACAAATGATATTATAATGTCACATTCCATATCCACTTTTGTATTTTATTCCAATGAAAAATTTGCGATACAATTCTTTAAGGAATTTAGCACCAAATAAAACTGTCTTACGCCATTTCGCCAATTCATGCTTTCCAATCAAAAGCCACCACAAAATTGTTGTCATTGCATTTAAAAATGAAAGGTCACATTATTCCAATTTTTGGATTTAACATGCAAAGATACCTAAAACAGTTTAAGAAATTATAATAAAATTCCTTAGACAACTTATGGCACAAGTTCTTTTAATATAGGTATACCCTTTAGATTAAGATCACCAGCAAATAAAACTTAGCAAATGAAACTGCCAAATGAACAAATTAAATAGTGTTTGGTCAAAACAGATTTCATCCATTAGCCATACCATTCAATTACAGTAACCTCATCTAGCATTGAATTATACAAATCCATATAACACATGCCTGTTATTTTGCATTAACATTATAACAGTCGGCTACTTTAAATTGAGGCAGTTACAAAATTTTCAAGGAGACATCAAAACGTATCCCCAACACATGCAATAAATTACACAATAGCAATTGGTAACTTGGCAATTGACAAAACATACAAATTTTTTCCAATCAGAACATATTCAATATTATTTTGACGGAAAGGAAATTACTGATATATTTAATATTACATAAAGCATCATATAAAATGTACAAGACACGACTAAATTCATAATTTGTCATCTTAAGCACATACAAAACCGTTCCATTGTGAAATCGAGGCGATTACAGAAACTTAAACGCGAACAGACACACTATTCCATAATAATTCAGCAAGGTATGTGCACCTCATGATCAATCAGTGAACTCGTTCACAGGCTGCAATTAACCTTTTGGCCCAAACATCTTTTGACATTGGACAGACACTCATACGACGGAGAAGGTGCTAGAATTAATTTCCAATTTCAGCAAACGAATTTTCTTTGAACGTGAATATAGGATGCACGAAAATATAGAATTCATCTTAAGATTGTTGGAAAATCACACCGATATTATGCATATTATATTCACAAAATCATGTCGTTTATTTGCGTGAAATCAAAACACAATTTCGACTTACCGAGATAGGATTTGAGAAGACAAAATAAGAATTTATCGAATCCAAATACCTGAATATGGATTCTTCCCTTTCAACTCATGATCGAAAACAAGTAATTCTTTGGATCAAACCTTGCAGTATAAACATATAAATAACGTTAATCATTTTCTGAAATCAAATCATAATAAAAGGAATCAGAAAATGAAGAAAGAAGATGCAAATGACGAATTTTTGGTCGAGGCAACTTAAGATGAATTTGTCCCATACCGGTGCTAACGGTTCTCTGGCAATCATCTCTCAAAATACAACGACCACGTCGAGTCATAGGAGCACTCCAAATGACTTCGACCAGCGAACTCGAACGAAATTCCCTCTCTACTATAACCATGACTTTGATTTAAATGTTTTATGCAAAACAAAAGTGTAAATTGGAATGGAATGATATGGTATCTATGACTTTTCTTGAATTTCTTGAATGATAAAATTCAAATATATGGGGTCTATATATAGTAGTTGGAAAAATATGTCAAAAGACACAACCATACCAAGAGTCACATCTTTTGAAATTTATAATTATTGGAAATTAATCATACACATACCAAGAGTCACGATCCTCCATATGAAAAGACGCATATTTTCATCCATATATTTCTAGAATATTCCACAATATTCTATACAATTTTTCAATAATTTCAAGTATTAAGCGGCTTTATATTTGACTTAATTTCTCATTCACCAAATTAAGAATTCCATTTAAATAATTATGTAAAATTGGTCACAACTAATTTTAGATACAAAATTCCAACAATCACCACACAAAACACAACCCAAAACAGCCACCACATAAACACTACCCAACACCGCCACCATACAAACACCACCCAAAGCCGCCACCTCACAAACATCATCACCACCACCACACAAAGCTAGACAAAACACCACAGCCACCACCATAAAATCTCCACCATACAAAAACACCATCACCTGAGAAGAGTCGTCGGAGTGAGATGGTGGATCTGCCTTGAAAATACTACTTTGTCGATACCCAATCACGAACCACAGATCACAACCCAAAATATTTATCTAACATCGCCAATCAACATAGTCGCGACGTTGTGGAGATCAAGAAGCTTATTGAGCGGCAACGACGACGACGACGAAGAAGAAAAGGTGAGGGATAGAGAGAGACTAGCAAGGGAGAGGGAGGAGATGGGGCTGTCGTCGCTAGAGAGTGGGGGATAGAAAGAGACGAGCAAGGGGAAGAGAACAGATGGGGGTTGCTTCTGGCCTCTGGGTAGTGGGTAGGGTTTTTTTTTTTTTTTGAAAGGTAATTAGTTTATTTAAATAAATAAATAAAATCTGATTTTTGAAATGTTAAACTTCCCATCTGGTTTAGGAATTTTGAATAAGTAAAATATGGTTTGTTTAATTTCCACGATATATTTTTCTATCCGTATTTTTCGACCGCACATTCTTCAATAAAATAATATTACTCGCAAATTCAAAACTTTTTTTTTTTATTTTTTAGCCCCACTTTCTTCATTAATCTACTATTCCGAAATGCATTCTTAAGACATCTCCAATGGGCGCCAAATTGGACCAAAATTTTGTGCAAATGTCGCACAACACTTTTTATTGCACCATTTTTTGCACCAAATGGTACAATGTCCGTTTTGACATTCTCTTTCATTTTTAAAAGATAATGATTAAAAATATTTGTGTCATTTTTGTTCTATAATAATAATAATAATAATAATAATAATAATAATAATAATAATAATAATAAAAAATTAATTACATTATTAATTATATTATTAAAGTTTATTATTTTTAATAATATAATTAAGGATTTTTAAATTTAGTAATTATTTAACTAAATTATTTTCGTAAATTTAACGTAATTGTTTATAATAAATTAATAATATAATCAATTATTTTCGTCAATTTAATATAATATATAAAACATGTGAATAATTTAGTAATCAATAATAATTCGATATATTTGTTAATTTAACGTGGTTATGATTTAGTAATTTATATAGTTATAAAATAAATAAATAAATATTTTTTTTAAATAACTACATTCTCAAAACTTGAAAGAATGAATAAAATAATAAAATACTATCATTTGGTGTAATGGTTGGAGGTGTAGTTTGATGCAAAATTTAGTGAAAAATGGTGCAAAATTTGGTGCTGTATTGGAAATTGCCTTATTCAAAAATTGGTTCAAAGATGCACTAAGTTTTTGAATTATATGTTGTTTATGATTTAGAGCCCAATTGAAGCCCTTTTTTTTTTTTTTTTTATGAAAATGTGTTTTGGAACAATATTTTGATAGAAAATGCGTGGTTAAAAAATATGAAAAAGTTTTAGATTTACGTATTATATTATTTTATTAAAGAATGTGTGATTAAAAATAAGAGAAAAAAATGTATTTTAAATATAATGAAGGCCAAACAAGGGTTTAAAAAATACTTGAAAAATAATAAAATATATTACATAAGCCCATCTTCCATGCTAATGTGTATTATTTTTAAAAATGGTCACTAACCTAAAAATTAGAAACGTCAAAACATCTCTTCCAGTGTAATATGATGGGACTCCGTCAAATTGACGTGTACAAAAATAAAACAGACATCGTTTAAAATTTCGTCTAAATATAGAAACTTTGTTTGACATATTAATCCAACAATTAATTCAATCAATCTATCTATAAGAGGAAAGAGAAGACTTCAAGAGAAAATTAAAATTTAAACGCATTAAACATCAATGTCATGTAAACTAAGACCCCGTTTTGTAGCAACTTTTCACCCCCAAAAATTTAATTTTTTGATAGTTATTTTACTATTCCAAATATCATTTTTGACATCTTAACTTATAGGTAGGTTGGACCACTTTTCTCTCCAACGTTCAAAAAATTAATTATCAAAATCACTATCGAACAGGCCTTAAAAGCACATCTATTTAGCCTTTTGATTTACACTTCAGAACTGAAAGAAGCCGGTAGCAAATGAAGTGGCAGCAGTGCTTTATATAACTGCTTTTAGGTCTAGAGATTCACCCCCTACTCAGAAAAATGAGCTGTTGGAGATGACTTATAGGTAGGTTGGACCACTTTTCTCTCCAACGTTCAAAAAATTAATTATCAAAATCACTATCGAACAGGCCTTAAAAGCAACATCTATTTAGCCTTTTGATTTACACTTCAGAACTGAAAGAAGCCGGTAGCAAATGAAGTGCCAGCAGTGCTTTATATAACTGCTTTTAGGTCTACAGATTCACCCCCTACTCAGAAAAATGAGCTGTTGGAGATCGATTGCTTTCCACGATGCATTTGAGATGATCAAGGATTCAAGGTTTTAATAGTTTTAAAACTTGTTAGAAGTTAATATTCATAATAAACTCAATTGTGAACCATTGTGATAACTTTTTGAGATCCAATAACTGGATTTTATAATCATCACCAGAACGAAGGTTTACAATGCAGACAAGAGGATTATCCGACTGAACATTATTTTGAAATTTTAAAGCACCAACTTAGCTAAACTGTGAGCTGGTCCAGTTGCTTCCTTGCGCAGAAACCTCCATGTTACAATAAATAAATTGCTTATTTCGTAATTTTGGTGAGCCAACAAAAAATTATTTCTATTTTAAAACCACACGATTAAGTTGACATAACTGAACCTTTCTTAAAACAGAAATTAGCCATGTAAAAGCAAATCAAAATGATCTTTCGTAAAGAGAAACTATCCACTTAAGAAATACGCAGCAGCACTGAGTTCCATGAAGTTATAATTTCTTAACTTGCAAATCACAGTACAAGGTAAAAACTCCAAGTTTAAATTAAAAGGATAAAAAGACACTGGAAAATGAGATATCTCAAATACTGCTGTCTTAAGTTTCTACTTGGAATGCTTCTTGTAATCCCTTTTGCTCTCAATGGTCACCTTTTTCTTGATCTCAAAAGTGACCTTGTCGAGATCAGAAACAGTGGCTATATGCCCATAAAAGATTCTCTTTTTCTCTCCAGTTGTAGCATCCAATTTCACAAGGTTTGGATTGTTATCATCTTCCTTGTTAAATGTCGGGGAGGACTGCACACGGGCCCAATCTTTTCGCCCTCGATTCTGTTTTTCGAAATGTTCAGCCAGCCGCAGCGCCTCCTTCAGACCTTTTGCACCACCAGGGAACTTCACCACATGAATGCCCAAATGGCCTTCCCTTGAAAACAAGGACATCGACTTGCCACTACTAAATCCAAGATCTGAAAAAGGCAAGATCCACAGAAGAGACAATGAGTATTGAAGATTATTACTACATTGAAGAATAGAAAAAGGGTTTTCAGGTCAACATCACTAGTAAATGGCAGATCTCATTTAAAATCCCACCATCTCTTCAATAATTATGGTACAATTACAGAAACCAGCTTCACCATTCACTTTCTACAAGTCTGCCAGTCACCTAAAACTTGTTACTAAGGGAGAAACTGGACATGACAAAGGAATATTGCAAAAAGTCTGAAAAAAGCTCCTTCCAGAGCTAGTAATAGAACATCATCTTTTCATTGAACATGACATAGAAAGGGTGGAAGGAAGTTAAAATAGTAAAATACCAAGCAAATCACACAGAGTCCAAAAAAAATATTACCCGAAGGCAATCTTACCATGAAGCAACTAAAACTATACATTCTCAAGCCATAAGTGGCCACAAATCGATATTAAATTAGGAAAAGAGCATCAACGAATATCACTGCCAACTAGTATAAGGAATTTTTTTCTTTTCAATAACTACCAAGCAAGAATATCCACTGTTAATGAGTAGTAAGAATTAAATAATTTCTACTCTACACTAGACCATGTGGTTTATTCCCAATCAAGTCTAACAAATCTATATGACATTTATGCTTAATATCTTTTCAAATTTGAATCTATATCACAATATTAATATATTTTCAAATTTGAATCTATATCACAGTATTACAAGTCATAGAAACTTGTAAATTCCAGATTAATACACAACCTAGCTCGATATTTTAACTGAACTTTTTCTCCATCTTAAAATTTTAAATCTCAGATTTAACTAGTTTAGAGGCTTCCACCTCATGAGACTGCATGTAAACATAATATATGGCAATCCATATATTTAAAAAGATTTGCATCCGATAAATGTATCATTCACAGCATTCCTATGTTATCTTTAACTGTCAGACAGACACCTAAAAACTTAGCTTTAAAATTTTGAAACTCACACCTCTATCAGATGAAATTCACCGACTTTTCGATTTCTCTTCATGATTCCAATTCCACATGTAGCAGGCTACACCATAATCGCTATAATTATCTCACCAGCATTAAATTCCTTTAGCTCACCATGTCCTGTTCGATTCAATGTAGAATGGTCCGCAACTGAATATCAAACGAGACTGAGCAAGTTTTCATAATTTAGGAACCCCAGCTTGTACATATAATATTTTTTCCACAAACTGGATAACATTCGTCAGACAAGAGAAAGAATGACCTAGGCTCCTGCATATACTTGTATAGCATGTTTGGCTTAGTGTATAATTACTAAAAGCATGTTTGACTAAGCTTGTAAGGACCACACCTTGAGCACCTTTTGTAAGGCTTAAGCCTTGAGATCAGCTTATGCATCAAGGCTAAGCCTCAAGGCAACTAAGGTGTTCGCCTACTCGTCTTTGCTTTTTCTAGACTTTTTAGTGTTGGTCTCAACTCTTTGGGATATTCTTTTTTTGTAACTAGCAATGTTCTGTGGTATTTTTTTCAATTGCCTTTACAGTGAAGGGAAAGGGGAAGGAAAAGACACTACTGCAAGTGGAGAATGACACAACGAAGAGAAGAATCAGATTCAATGTGAAAAACGATAGCGAATCAGACATGATGATTATTCCCTTCAAGATTATATTATTAGTGATGATATAAGAGGCTTCTAGCTTGCATTGTGATACCTTTTTCAAGTTAAGCAGCACGAGAACTACCAAAACTAACAATTAAATTGAAAGACCATTGCAAATAGATTGAGTGTTTGACCTCCACCCTAATCCACACTAGTCACTACCTCATAATAGGAATGACTCCCAATTCAAGTGGTAGCTTAGGATGGCAAAACTTGCAATTTTGATCACTTTATGACTCCAAACAAATCAAAAGAAAAGGTGAAGAAAAGGAAACTTTCCCTCTTTGTACACTATGCAAGTTGGGCTGCAGGAAAAGCTGGAAAGTTCCCTAGCAAATTGTCTCCTCTAAGTTAACTTTTTAACTCATCATGATATTACACTACAGAAAAACGTCTAGCACTGAGCTAAAGATAAAACACCGAAAGTGAACATATAGTAAATGATGAGACACCTCTCAAACTGAAGAGACAGATGATCCAAACCTGAATAGCATATCCATTCTTAAAAAGACACCTTCAAAAAATTTCCTACTCTCGTGTTTTGTACAAGGTTAAGGCCCAAGTGCCAATAATTTGGTGAGAGCTGACAAACAGATAGTCTTGGCACTAGTATTCGTAAGTCTGGCTTAAAGTTGTAAACCAAATAGGACCATCATCCAACAAACTAAAACTAACGAAATACATCCTCCCAGCTGATTAATGGCAGGTCCCAGGAAAGGCCCAAAATTATGAGCAGATGCAAGGCAATGAACCCAGCAGACTGATGCTTCACATTGAAATATGTGCAAGGACATTTAAGTACAGGCCCCCCAATTAATGAAGTAAGATGACTACCTTAGAGGCATGTCATATTTTAATTTCTGTGATGATCAGACAAACATGCGTGTCATACAAAGCTGCAATACTAAAAATCATTCAGTGACTAAACCTACACAAGATCAAGAGCAGATTAACACAAGCTAGACAAATGTGTAAATTCTTCAGTCACCTTCACCCAAAGACAAACAAGTGGTCATGGTTGAGGTGGTAGTGTTACAGTTGCATATGATGATGGTAAAGAAAAGCAATGTGCTCAAAATACAAACTTCACAGTGGAAAATTGATATAACAGCAAGAGGTCCAGCAAAGGCAGACCAATAATAACCTCCTTATTGCCATATATTATGCAAACTAATAACTAGGATTACCATGCAAGAACACCACATAACTTGAACAAACCATTGATAAATAGCAAGAAACGTGATGAAGGCTTGGGGGTGCAAAATACCTCCAAGAATACTATCCATTGGTCTGTTTCCTATACCTTCCATGCGCCCATCTCTACCTTTTCCTGTGAGTGTATTATGAATTAATACAGAAGGCGGCCACAAAATCAGATCATCCTGGTTTGCTATTGCCTCGTCAGAAGATAACATCTGATATGCTTTTGAATTATCAGGAGGCATCAAATGGTTCCAGCCCATCAGAATGCATAAAGCTTTGTGAAAGCCCAAGTGATCCACAAGCAAGTTTCCAGAATCTGAGTTGTACATATGCATGATAAGACTATGCATATCTGGATAATCTTTTGAAGTCCTGTATTTTTCATGTCAAAATTGTCGAGGAGTTTTCAGGCACATTACAAGAAACAAGATAGTAAGATACCACATTTAGCAGTCTTCTCGGGAATTAATTAGGCAGGCATTAGATTCCAGTGAGCGGATACGCACAATTTACTGTTTCATCAACCAACTTCAAAGGAATTGAGATAGATGATAAGTACCAATAAACACAAAATTATATCTTAAAACTATACAAGGTGTTCAGCTAGTGTCATTTAATACATTGTTGCAAAAGATATGTCCTCACTTCCCCACTCTCCTAGAATCATGTTTAATTTTGTCGCAATGATTCAATATTTCATTTAATATAAATGAAATGATAACCCCGGGGTTCAGAAGTAAGGAAATGAATCATCTTCGACAAGACAGTCAAATGCATGACAAAAGAGCCATTTAATGAAATCGATACAAATGGAATTAATACCCAAAAAATAGATATAGGGGGGAAATAACCACTGACTAAAATGATATTTGTAGGAGCATTCATGCAGTACAGCAAGAAGTAAAGTCCATAGACAATGGCATTAGAGTCATTTCTCACTCTTAACTTCAATATCTGGTCATGAAATTAAAGTCATACTGATTGAACAGCAGTGAAAGATGCACAAAACCAAACTATTATCTCGTGGGAACGATAATCCGGACTCAAAAGGTTCACTTTACTACTTGTTACGATCCGTACACTTGCGGGATAAAATCCACAACAATAGACAATGGCATTAGAGTCATTTCTCACTCTTAACTTCAATATCTGGTCATGAAATTAAAGTCATACTGATTGAACAGCAGTGAAAGATGCACAAAACCAAACTATTATTTTTTTTTTCTTGGCAGAAGTAAAACTACAACTAATGATGGTATTGTGTTCCAATATCCATGAACATCCAAGCTCTCACAGCTTCCCTCAAGAGATTTGAGAAAAGAAGATAGAAAATAACTCATTTCTTCTTTCCTGCTTCACCGAAGTTTATATGAATTATATACACCCAAAAACAAATGAAAACAACAAACGAAATTCACGTGCAAAATATTCAGGTGAACCTAACTCTGCACTAATTGCAAAATGAATCTTGATAAACCAAGGAAATACTTAATTCCCAAAACCTGCCACTCCCAGGTTCCCGTTCCCAGAAGATGATTATAACAGTTAATTGATAATACCAACTTAGCAAATAATGAAGATACAATCTACAAGATAGTTTACTACTGAGAAAGCAAAAGAAATTAAAGGGAAAACGCACATAACCATGATGTATTAGGGCTTTAATGTGAGTATCATGTACACAAGGAAATGATAATATTGCCACAATATGATTGTTCAAAAAATTTACCAAATTCTCAAGTGATTAATATCTTCAGTAGAGAAGCAAGTCGAACAGCTGGAAAGCAAAGCACAAGAATCAAGGCCATCAAATATTTAACACTAGGTCTATTGAGCCTGCTTGCAACTTTTGAGGTATCCCCAACAACAGTATTGAACTCACCATAGCTACATATAATATCTTGATAGCACTTTTAGCCAAAAAAATGTTTTCTGCACCAAGCTAATGTTTCACGTTCCCCCAATTATGGAACAGATAACGACGAAAAACTCAGATATCCAGAACTTTGAATAAACAATTACAGAAGATACGAGACATATTCAGCGGATCTGTCAAGCGTTGTCTCTTTCCTCCTACCAGAGGTACACTAAATTTCTAAGCGTAACGCAGCCATAGGCTCCTAAAATTGAAACTCAAATATAACAAACAGTACGTTTAATGTAATAATGAAAGACAAATGCAAATATATTATAGGCCCAAAAGCCATGAATGTTCAACTAGTAAGGTTAAAAAACAAATCGAGTAATTTAATGCTTACAGAATCAGATTACTAGATTAAATCAAGAGAAACGTTATTTGAATATAATGTCAATTACACAACAATGTTATGTAAAAAGTGCTTACCTCTCCTTAAAGTTAGTAAAGCACTATTCTTCACAAACAACCTCTTGTCAGTGAAATGACAAACTGCCTGAGTAGAGTCGCTACAATTACATTTTGCCTTTTAGCTATAGGCATTCATAAACTACTGGAATGAGAAATTATGGGGAAAGAGTAAAGATATGAATATTAATCACGTCTACTTGACTCCTAGCCCTCTCCAACAGTCCAACTTAAGACATCCACTCAGAACAGAGCTGCTGCATATGTGTGACATCATGGTAACAAATTAGGTCTATGTTGAAGGATAAATGATACAAGAACGTACTATCCAAAAACTACATTATGCACATTCATATCTGCTGACAAATGAGATCAGATCTTAGATCACAGTGCATACATTCAATTTCAAATCTTCTACAAGTTTTCACAACTCATTTAATGATAACTGCTTCTAGCCATTTAACAGAACAAAATCCATTAGACACGAGATATCCACCTCAAAAGCTTCTAGCCATTTAATAGAATAAAATCCATTAGATACATCCAATAAACCCAAAACCAAGGTGAGATATCCACATCTCAAAAGTTTCTAGCCATTTAATAGAACAAGATCCATTAGACACAGCCGATAAATCCAAAACCAAGGTGAGATCCACATCTCAAATAACCTTTTTGACAAAAGTAACCAAGAGAAACTTCCAAGTCAACAAGGTAATCAAATATATGAGCAAGCCTGTTAAATAATAACAAATTAACAACATCATTTCAAAGAAATAAAATGTCAGAAACCATTTTATAGCCAACTGCCTTGGAAGCAGCCTAACCTCTACAGGAACACAGTGAACGCTGATATTAACTGAAATGCTGCACTTACTTTTCCATATAACATATATAGAGATAAAACCATAAGTCTCAAAACACCCCTATGATATATTAGAAGTTGGAACATCACCATTCTAAGTTCTAACTATGCCCCCGTTTGAGCCACATTTTTACCTCATTAAAATGAAAAATATGACCGTTATTCATCACATCAAATCACCATTTTTGAATTTCTATCTCTGGTGTGAGGCCCATAACGACTCTATTTCTCATTCTCATTCCCATTATAATGTGGCTCAAACAGACTCTATATTAATCCTCAAGATTTATGGAAAAAAGATGAACTGAACCAAAGGACGTAAAGTCCATGACCTAAACCTATAGGCCTTTCATACCCAATAGTATTGGGAAACTAAAATTATAGAGCTAGCAGGACTAAATGCAGCAAAAGTTGAGTGTAAACCATCATATTCCATGACAATTTTGAGGGCAAGAAATGCAAGCATGCATCTGCCACTTTTATGATATCAGATTAAACGCAACCTGGAATCCACTGATAGTTGAGTGTGAATGAAACTAAAAAATAACAAAAATTATCATTAACAGTAAGTAACAGAGTAGACCTAGTGCTTTAGCTAATATGTAAAGGCTCATAGAAAGAAAACGTGCACTAGGCCATCATCCATATTAAATGAATTCTGCAGGAATATCAATCAAGCCTTAGATAAATCCTGACAGATCTAAACAAATAACCATGATTCCAGTAAAGGAATTCCCCCAAACACACTTGCCTTCAAGACCCCCAAGAGGTGCAATAAGATGCCATTGACACCTAAAGTCTTAACTGACAAATTTTCTTTGGCTTAAACAGCAACGAAGCTCACTATCAACTTACAACATGGACTTAACAATGTGGACAAGTAGTGAACCAAAACATAAGTGAGCTTATATTTCTACAGCACGTATATATTCATACATAAGGAGATATATCAAGTAGCTCAAAAGAAAAAAGGATGGTGCATTGGTCTAGTTCACTGTATATATAAGGCAAATGCAGCCGCTAAAGAGGTGTAAAAATTTCGAAAACAAGGAGAGAGAAAAAAGAATGAACAAAAGGAGTGAAATTCTTCCATTAGGAGAAATATTAAGTCACTCAAAAGGGGAAAAAAAGGATGATGGATAGGTTTAGCTCACTCTAAATAGAAGGCAAATAAAGCAGCTAGGAAGGAGTGAAAATTTGAAGAAAAAGGTGAGCAAAGAAAGAACAAACAAAAGGAGAGAAAATTCTCACATCTACTGTCAGAGAATTGCATGGTATGTTGTGGTCCAACCAATGTTAAACTTTAGTGTGTTATTTGTGAAAAAGGTCAAAAAAAATAGCAGCTAGAAAGGAGTGAAAATTTAAAGAAAAGGTGAGCAAAGAAAGAACAAACAAAAGGAGAGAAAATTCTCACATCTACTGTCAGAAAATTGCATGGTATGCTGTGGTCCAACCAATGTTAAACTTTAGTGTGTTATTTGTGAAAAAGGTCAAAAAATATTCGTAGCTGTGTTGATAGTTAATTGTTGTTCCTCTCCCCATGTGTCAATCAACCTAATTCGTAAGACTGTTTCATTTATTTTTCCTATCTTCTTTTAGTTGTAACATATTGCTATGTTGCTGATTAATGCGGTTACACTAGCCTTTAGTGCAATTATCTATATGGAAGAAAAATATGGTAATATTAATCTCATAACTTTTGATGGTCAAAGACTCTTTTAAGAGTACAGTCCCATGGTTTTCAGTTCACACTAAATGATTTATATATTTATTGTTGTATTTACCATTTTTGTAGGTTTCAAATATTGGACACCTTATTATGTCACAAAAGGAAGGAAAGGAACTTTTCTAGACATTTGCATTTGAACCGTGACTAGTTATGTAGATCACCAAAAAAATGGTATAGTGACTTTTGGTTGCTAAAATTGTAAAACATTGTGTTAATTAAAATGGATGAGAGTTTAGGCGCCATCATTGTTCTTACCTAATTACTCCGTCTAGAATTCAAGGACGAAGAGCATTCTGACACTAAGAATTTACACAAGCCTGATGAAAGTGATGGAGACAAGCCAAAAATGAAAACCAGTAAACAATGGAAGATTATAACCATGAAAAAACATTGGACAATATGGACAATAGATTATTCTGAGTTTGTTACACTATGTGGCCAAGGAGACTAATGCCCACAAAATTGAAACATGTTGAAAGCATGTATGTCATAAAGACACCCAAAATAAAATGTTTACCACAGGAAGCTTGAAAGTTTTGAAATACGAAGAGGGTTATTGAGTTGAAGAGAATCTTGATGACTCGAAAGATATGGTAAATCATTTAACCACGATGAACAAGTGCACAACAACGAGTTATCTTCCTCATGCGTGTTTCTCAAAATAAACTAACTTGATCAGATTTCTCTTTGTTTTCTATATATTTGCTTTTATTGATGATATATTAATTTAGCCCCCGTTTGGTCCCCATTTTTTGAAATTAATAAGGTGAAATAATATTTTTTTGAAAAATGAGTGGTTGAAAAAAAAGGAAAAGTTTTCGATTTACGTATAATATTATTTTATGGAAGATTATATGGTTGAAAATAGCAGAGAGAAAACTAAAATAGAAATTAATGGGGGCCAAACAGGGATTTATTAACCAAAAAATTTATTTTTTACTCTATATATGGCCTCTTTAATTCTATATAGGAAAGAAAGCATTGGAGTCTCATCAATGGGCAACATTCCCATGCTTTCACCTTCACACTAAAAGTACTCCAAAAATATTTGGTTTTTGCCGAAGTTGTTTATCTTCTTATTAATATACGAGGTTATTAGTTATTTTAATTGGTTGATTAAGACATGCTGTTCTTATAAGAAAAAAGGAAAAAGAAACTTTCCTGGATATTTTCTTTTACATTTTGAATGCTTCATAGACACTTCCTAAAACCAATCCTGCAACGATCCCTAATATAAGAATATCTACAACACACTATGCCAAATTGCTAGAAAGGACCTCACAAACTATACTATAATACACAACAAAATGTTCAATATGTCTCGAAACTTTCAATAGAATGTCTCTAAGGAACAAGGAAGCACCATCTTAATTCACTTAAAGAGGACGACTAAATGTTAGTTTTTTCTAAAAAAATATTGCATGAGAATCACCTATCTGTAAAGTAGATATTCACACTTAAGTGCACCCTAATACACTTCCTCAAGTGTTCAAACCATAATTCTGCCCAATGCAGTACCTGCAAAAGAATTTCTCTCCCTTACAAGTCTATTTCATACAACCATTGTCTTTACAGCTCGTTGCTTTCAAAGATCAAGCAATTATGAAACTTAGGCACAGAACAAACATGCATAATTAAGTTCATGTGACACAATTAAACATTAAAAACAAGTACTGAATATAAGAACCTTGTACTAAACCAGAAATTGCAGTCATAAATCAATGTCAGACCTGCCACAGGCAAGACACTGGAGAGGCCCTTGCTTTCCATCAGCCAGGTAATTCCTTTTCTGATTCGCATTCTCATAAATTAACTTCACAAAATGCGAAAATGCTTTCCTTAACGAATTCTGATCAACGTCATTGTGCTTAAGCTTACCCACATTCACCTCTCCGGTTTTCATATACTTAGTAGGTCTCATCTCCTCACCTCTCCCCAAATTATCCAGTCCACTCGGGCCAGGACCATTGGCATTTGTACTGGTAATTCTATACTGCAAAGCATGTTGGGGTTGTCTCTCAAACGCATCATTTCCTCTCCTCTCCTCTTCCCCAAACTTTCTCTTGAGAGAACTCTCAGGCCCTGGGCCCAGTGAATTCCAATATTCTTGATTCCTGGTCCTTGCCAGGGGGTCATCCGGGCCACGAAATTCCGGCCTGAACTCCGGCAGGAAATCAGGATTCATTGGGAAATGAGACCTATCAAGCCCAAATTCTGGAGGACCACGTAATTCGGGCCGAAATCCAGGCCTAAGCATGGGCATAAAATTGGCATAATCAGGTGGCAACGCGAAGTATGAGCGCACGGAGCCATCCGCGAGGACTATAGTCCGACGGTCAAGCATGTGGAACCCATAAGCCGGAGGTGGGGGCTGGTCCGGGAATGGAAACACAGGAGGCGGACCAAAATGGGCATTCGGATTTTCGGGTCTAAGTGGGATTTCGGATCTGGGTTTGGGTTTCGGGGTAGGGGTGGGGGGTTTATTATTGGCCTCTTTACTTTTGTTTGGGGTGGCACTGGTAGTGGTGGGTGTTCTGTCTTTTCCGGGGTTGTGTGAGTGTTTGGATTTGGACTTGGATTCAGCGATGGAAGTAGAGGCGGAGCCGGAGAGTTTATGATCTGTGGCCGCAGCGGATGATGAAGATTCCCACCGTGATTTGTTTTGGTGGGATTGTGCTGAGGAGGACGGCGGAGGGAGTTTGGGAGCGTTGCCTCCGGCCATCCTCTGTAAAATTATGTGAGAGATCAGAGATATACAAACTTGTATATAAATCGGTGAAAATTACAAAGAGAACAGGGAAGAAAAAGACGAGAATAATTGTAGGTTAATTTATTAGGGCATCCGACTTGCTTAAGCTTTGTAATTGTAGGTAAAAAAATTTTAACCAAATAGTTATAACTTGCTCTGTAACGGGAAATCCTTCTATTTGAACTATTATTATTTCTTTTTATGAAAAAGTCTATATTATTATTAATGAAATGATTTTTTCTATACTACAACATATATCTCAATCTTTTAAAGCTATTTTATTTTATATTTATTCTATTTTAAATTTTAGCATATAAATTCATTGTTTGATCGAGTAAATTGGAATAATTTGTAACATACTGTTCATATTTTTCATTAAGTATATTATATTCTTCAGAAAATGTATTCATATTTTTTAATTGAGAAATAATATTTTTTTATTTCTTCTAACATTTTTTCTAACAAATTATATAATTCTCCAATTGTATATCCAGGCATTAATACAAATAATCATTAAATCATGCAATTAATCCCTTTGATTCTATAAGATCTAAAAAAAATTCATTTTAATTTTAGCAAAAATTTAATAGTTTTACCTTAGTTTTGATCTGGATCTTTATTCTTAGAATCGAGTGACCTTTGAACTCTGAATATGTAAACTGCTTCCTTTAATGGCCTCCTGCCTTCACGGAATTTTTACTATTTCAACTTCTTGCTCTCATTGTATCAATTATAAAAAAATAAAATTCTAGACTTTTGTTAAAGAAAAACTCTCTTTTTCCTAAAATTAGATGGAAATTTTCTATTAGATCCTTCAAAAATCGTTAAGAATAAAGATTTAGAAACTCATATTAACATCAAAATACTAAAATTTTATTTCTATCAGAACTTTTACAAGATTTCTATTTGGTATACAAGAATTTCCAGAAAAACTGATTTTTCAGACTGAGGAAGGCTTAATAGTGGCCATTGATTAAAATTCGAGATTTCAAGATAAGATGATCTCTATCTATTACAATGCCTCTATTTATACAAATATATGAGGCTCTATTATTGATCAATTACATCGTTCAATACATCAGCAAAGACACATTTGTCTTTCTATTATTGTCCTCCTTGGACTTACATCTTCACATGTATTTTCAACTTTTTATCCAAATAGCATATTTATCTATTATTGTCATTTATCTTTTATGTCTTCACATGCAGTTGGGGCACTCCCTTGACTGGCAGGATTCTCTTATAGTGGTAGGACATTCTTGAAATTGATGTATTTCGAATATTGTAATGTAATCCTTCAAGATTTTTAATTTTCCATGCTCTCCATTTGATACTAGCATCCAGTTTTCATATTAACACAAGCATGGAAATTTTTTATCAAACAAATTTTTAGCAATATTGTAAATAGCCTTAATTTCAAGTGCTCTTTTATGTCTGATCCATGATTTTGTCACTGTTGGAACATTTCTATCATTTTTCACCACATTTATTTGGAAGTTGGCTGCTACATATCCAATTAATATTTTATGTTCAACTGGATAATAAACAACTCCATCGTATTTAGAACTTATTGAATAAAATTTTAAATATATTCTTCGTCCCTCGGCAAATCTTGATACTTCTTTTATGCATATGTCATCAAATTTCGAAATTTCAATCAAATCTTTCCCTGGATATACCAAATCCATAAATTCATAGTCTGCCATAATCTTTATAAACAAAGGATCTCCTTCTTTCATGACTGTTATTTTGGGATAAACATTATTTTCAAGAGAGATGAAATATGAAATACTTATTTTTATTTCATAAGCAATTCTGACAATTTTTGCATACTCTTCTTCTTTTGGATCTAAATGGATTTTATCATCCTGGTTTATAATGCTGATAGTTTTGGAATCTCTTTTATCTCCATGTATCATTACTTTTTCTGTTGTTGATACTGAAATGGAATCTGTTTTTTTTATCAGTTGGTATATTGTCACGTCTGGGTCCATTACTGCCTCCAGTTGTCCTTGTTTGGTATTGATTTGGAAAACTCATTTCTGAGCTCTTTGGTATATCTGCCTCAGACAATATATCTTTTAGTTGTGTTGCAATAGTATCAACTTAATTTTTGAGTTATATGGCTTCTTTATGATGCTCGGTATGATATTCAACAATATTTTTATATTTGAATTGAACATATTTGAGATCTATATTGCTCCAGTATTTATATCTTCAGATTCTTTTTTAAGAAAATCTGTTCTTTTTTGTATATGTAGGATAGATTGGTATAACTCCATGACCTTAACTTTATCCATTAGCAAATTCTATGTTTCTGTTGAGAAAATGTGCAAGAAAATTATTAACTCATTTAATATGAACTATATCAAAATTATAAAATGTTAAATAAGTTTGTCATCTATGGAGCCTTCTGTATTGAGGTTCTGATCGTAATTTATTTTTAACTAATCCTGCAACTTGAGAATTATCGGTCTCAACGGTAAATTTCTTGGATAGTAAGAACAATGAAAAAAAAATGTATCCCTCTAATAATTGATAGTAATTCTTTCTCATGAGTGGTATAATTTATTTCCGCTTGATTAAAAGTTCCACTTGAATATTTACAAATCTCATTTAAATTTTGTTGTCCAATATTTATCTAAAACATCAGTATTAACAATTAAATTATCTTTT